CATTGAGTGCCTACCACTTAAATCTTCAATGGGTCATTATTTTTAACATCAACAGCGACAGATCAAGACAGACAGATTCTAATCAAAGGCATAGACATCGGCACATTTTGAATATCGTTCGCATGCCCTATTGTACCTCTATCGAGCTTCATGTTCCGAAAAGCATCATTCAGTGTTTTCAGCAATGTGCTGTTTGCCGTTCATCACAACTCTATCATAAAAAGGAGGTGGGCCCGGCGTAGGCCGGGCGTCCGACTGTCTCTATGTATAGACCAGTGATTTCGTAGGCACAACGAAGAGTGCGAATGTCAAGTGAGCGTGGTGGGGAAACAGTTATCAAATGGGAAGTGAACCGATACTGTTCATATTGGTCTTTTAACAAGTCGTAGGTAAGCGGTAGTGGGCATGTGGTGCGCGCATTAGCGTGCGTAGCCCAACTGGTAAACGCATAAACGAGAATGGGCAAGGAACTGTTACACACAGACTACTACTACAACACGATATAAGTCAGCTCTACGCAGGGAGGGCTTCGCCCTTAGAGAGTGCAAGATGATGGGTATCGGATGAGAAGTTGTAGGGTAGTCGACGCCGCTCGGTGTCGTAGTCGCCAGACGTCTCTCGTTGCCTCGGCTTGTGGACTCCGCCCTGAAAGGTTGAGTTTTGTAAGGGGTTTTGTAGAGCTTGTACAGTAAGCCAATGCTGTGAGATGCGCCCACGCTTACAGTGCAGCCTCCACAGTGCCGTTGAAACTCGTTCGCGCGCACACACGGGACTATCTTTGAGCCTGTATAATAACCTATCTAAGTCGGTTTTCAACTGCTAAGCGTGCGTATGGTATACGAGGGGGCCGCAGACTTATCATGGCCTTGAGGTATCTGGTCTGAGATATCTGCCCATGATAAGTCTGCGGCCCCCTCGTATACCAGGCAATTTTATCGTGAACCGTGGCTTTGAGCCGTATGCAACCATCTGCGGTCTGAAGAAACAGAAAGTATAGAAAGTGTTGACGAAGTCGCCTTTGAAATAACTGCAGTTGTGGAAGTGGGAGTCACTGTGCAGTAAGCAGAGAATAAAGTGGCAAGTGGCGCACTATGTCACACGCACAGTCAGGGGTTCAAATCCCGGATCGATGTCCGCCTAGGCCAACAAAGCCCTCCATCCCTCAGGGATCGCTTAATTGGTACCAGACTCGTCTGGGAGGATAAAAGCACTGACTCGTACGTCGGCTGGCCACCGCAAGTCATTGTCCACATACGCACTCGTTACGCCAGTACGATTCTGAATGGGAGTCGAGTGCGGGGGCGCATCTCTCAGACGGGATTGATTAACGCCAGAAACTGTCCTTTTTATCCTTCTGTTGCATCTCTGCAATGCTATTTCCTGAAGGATCACAACACGTCCAATACCTTAATGAACGGATGAGGAAAGCAATCTTGAAGGGTCTTCCATTTGAAACTGGTAACTGCACTATTGCCAAAGCTCACAGAAATCCACATCTCAATGCGGAATTAGCATTCACGTCATACAACTGTGTACCTTTTTTCCAGAGCTTTATCAGAAATTAATGTTGTTACGGTCACGCAATCAAATCAGCCTACATTGTTGATTCTCAGTGACATATCATTCGCTGTGACATTCTGTGGGCTTACATCAATGCTCACTCGTGGGCTCACCCTATCATCGAAAGATTGGTCACTGAGTGAGGAGCTCGATAAGCAAGACAGTTACATAAAAATAAAGGCCCCACAGCGTAATTCGTGTACATCGCGTGGAATACTAGGCGTTGATGGTGATTCCGGTCATAAAAGTGCTGTTTGAAAATCCCCAGAGGGTTTCGAAGAATGAAAATTTCCCGATGGAACAAGCACTAAAGAGTTGCTGAAACTACGCTATCGGCTATGGAAAATAAAAAATCGAATCGCCTGTCGTCTACGTCCCCTCCGAGCTTAGGATCTCTGTACTGTAGATCAGGACATACCAATTTTCGGCCCAACACACACGCTACACACCCGATACACTGCGTGAGCGCCTGTCATGAACGGAGTTCTGTTTATGTGTGTTTAAGTGAGATGGTTCGTTCCCAGGGCAAATTCACTAAGATTACACTCAGACTGTGCACGCTACAACCACGCTCACGGAATCTTGTCCTACACCCTACCATAAGTGTTCTCATCCTGTCTCCTGTATTACTACCAAATTTGAGCGCTCTGAGCCCAGTTTAACGTTTTTCACGCAAGCCCCGCTCTCCATGGGCAAAGTCTAGTGATGCCACCTATGAGCGCTGTTCTCACAAGACCCGAGAATAGCTGGGGTTTTATTTTATCGAGAAAAACCACGTTGATTTCAGGATGCTTCATCGTTATCCGGTTTTTTAGTGTTTCCGCAAGAGATTTTCATCAACTCATCTAATGTAATTAGTGAGTTTAGACCCTGTTATGACATCTCGATTGGATCCCTTGACTATATCTTTTTTTAAACCAGTTTCGTGCAATTCAAGGAGAAGACTTAAACTGACGTGGTGCCGATTGACATAGTGATGTTCAAAAATAAACATTGAAAGCTGATATTTTCAGATGAATTATTGCCGGATGCCTCGGAGGGGCGGGAAAACGTTTTCGCATCAAAGCGATGTTGCTTCCCCCACTACAGTAATGTAGGGATGGTTTTCAATTTTTTTTTTAATTTTTTGCCAATACTCCCATGTATGCCATCCCATTTTTGTTGTGCAATACTATAAAATTGGCAACTAGCAACTGTCTATTCCCCGAGTATTTCAATTATCAATCTCAGGTGGTCACTATCTTTTCCATAGTGACTTATATTCATAGACCAGATACCCAACTATTTTTGTTGATAAAGAATTGAGCTAATAGTTCTTTTCCATTGAAAAAAGGTATCTCATAGTTGCCAAACTGAAAGTTCCAACGCCACTTCCTAGTTCAACAATCTCAACCATTGTTGACAGTCGACACAACTTCAATAGGAGCTTAGTCAGTTCTAATCATTCCTTCACTCAAGAGCCTAATTGCAGTCGGGTCTGGTAATAGCCTCTGCTATGGAGTCATGGCAGCGTCAAAAGCCGTCTCAAGGAAATAAAGCCATTTTAAAACTGTCGACACTCGGTTTTTATCAAGGTCAGTTTGATCCGTGTGAAGCAAACATGGTTCGCATTCTAGTCGGCAGTTGGAGATCATTTGTGAATGGTAGTGAAGTTATAGTAAAGTTATCTCACTTAGGATTTTTTCCTCTCTATCACGAATCTCCTTCGCTGAGGGTTCTCAAGGTCTCTCGTCGGTTGGTGGCTAGGTGGTGCGACCTCAGGCGTATTGGGGAGTAAAACGAAGAGCAAAAGTCATCGGTACTTGTCCAGAGACCAACATAGATTCAGTAGACAGATTCCCTAATTCTGCTGTGATAAGACTGTTAATACTCTCTCCATGCTCCCAGGTGTATCTATGAGTGAGAGAACCTGCCCTTTGGATTGTATCATACATATCAGTTGAACTTATAGCTTACTTTCGAGTGATGCTAAGTAATCCGCAAGGTCATTCAAAGTCCACTCTGCGATGGCCTGGCTAGCTATCTAGCAGCCCCCATGCCAAAGTTTGGCAAGCTACTTTTGGGTACCATATGCTAAAAGCGGTGATATAAATGGGCCTCACGCCCCAGAACCTGAGAGAACCCCAAATACGCCCGCGTTGAGCAAGACCGCTCAGGAGAGGCTGCTAAGATTTCAAAAAAAGGCTGCCCAGTAAAAGAAGGACTTGACTGATTCAGTCCGTTTGATGCATGAACGCTTGCGGGGGAAGGGGGCATCGAAAATGTGTTGTGCAAGATAGGAACAAATTGTCGGATTGATAGGGACGATGAGGCGTTGCCCGCTGGCGCCGATTCGGAACTGGAAAAGAAATATCCCTTAGAATAGCAGCAGATGCTGCTTTATAGTTGTCCTCGTCTATAAACTCTTGGCCACGAACATGGATTCGCACGAATGCTTGACAGCCTGAAGCGGACGTTTGCGATTGAGAAGATGTTGCTCAATCCCACCAATGTTTGTTGCCTCTATTCCAACATTAAGCTACAACGAGGAGCTGGGAGCGTTTCATATGGTTTGGAAAAGCGCTACAGGAAATACCACACTTTCCTCAAGGTTATCGTCTGTGATTTCAACGCCAGAAGAACGGGTGAAGAGCTTCACGTCGGGACTCACGAAATGGAGTGAAATCAATAGGGTGAAAGTTGTCCGAGTCCATCATATCGACCCTTACCATCATGGTAACTCGCAGGTTCAGAAACCTTTGCGGTGGACATGGGAGCCACCTCATGGGCAATTGGTTCTATGATGATCCTCAGTCGAAAATTTTGACTGACAGGCGTCACTGTAGTTCTACACTGGATCGGACCATCGTCTCTTCCGACTCAGACTCTGTATTCCAATGCGTGGAGAGAGAGGTGTGAAGCTCAGGAAACTAAACCCTAAGACCTTCACCAACTGGGACCAATTCTCTTTCCTTGCTGGTTTAATGGAAAACTCTATGATTGACAAAAGTGGTGACTATTGTAATCCGCTCGCTAAAAATCTTCACGGTAGTACGAGGTGAGCAGAACCTACACATTAGCAAGGACCCAGAGTAGCATTTCCAAATGCCGATAGAGCTTTAGCAATTGCAAATGCGATGAATTCTCATTGTAAACGTTCCGGACAGTAACGGCATCTCGAAGTATTATACAATGGAGAAACCTCGTGAGAGTACGAAGCAAAACAACATCCAAGTTACAATAGAGAAAATTATATACTTCTACGTGAACCTCTTCGACCTCATGAATGTTTGTACGGCGCCCGTTCCGGATAAGTTTGAACCAAAACATCTAAACAACATCTAAATAACGTCCAACTACTCGTCAATGCCCTAACTATGCTCTTTATGCTGTCCATGTCCGAATGCAAAGTGCCCACATCGTGGTAAACTTGCAACTGTATTGTTGTTGTATAAGATGCGAAATCCGGGCAATATTGGCTATTTCACCAATTCTGTTTGTTGTGCGTGAACTATACTGTTTCCACACTTGCAAACTTTAACAGGATTGGCAGCATACTGGATGGAGGACAGTCAGCAAGGTCCGATTCGGAGAAGGTCTTCTATACCGTTGAGACATAGGCAGGTCTTGGGCAACCAGGGTGTGATTAAAAACACGTAACGATGCCTGGCGAACCTACAAGCACTTCACTAGCAGTATTTTGCCACTCTCTAAAAAGTCATTGNGAACATGAAGAGAGGACTATTTGTTGTCCAAACTTCTCAGTGCCATCTCGTGAACATTATGCGTCATTCGGAATGAAAAGGTGTGGAAGAGAAGGTTGACGTCCGCTGCCTACATCATCTCCTTTTGCAGGCGCTATTGAGTGAGGGAAGCCGGCCAAGCTGTTAACGCTGATTGTCTTTGACTGAACTTAATTACAGACATCCATCCCCCTCAAGCTTATCAGTGCCGCTTTCGAAAACATCATGCGTCCCCTGGAATGCGAAGACTTGCTTTGGAAGACGTCATGCGTCCCGTGGAATGCGGAGAATGAGCGACCGGCCTCAAGCCGCAACTTACACCATCTCCGCTTTGAAGTCCTCCCTAAAAAATCAAATATCGAGTGAGTCTGGCCGAATTCAGAAGGCTCATACCCGCTCACCTGAATTGAACGAGTACCCCTGAATGCTCCAGCAACATCTGTACATAGGTCGAGAAGTCACTATGATCAACACTGCGGCCCTTCTTGCTCTAACTACGCCTTGAAGGAACATGCAATCAGCGTCATTCAAGAGAGGGACTTTGAACGAAAACAAGGACGGTAACCAGCTCGAGGGTCAGACCTCACGAATGCTCTGAACGAAGGAACTATGTCTCGTGTCCCTCGAAGGAGACGATCCTTTGGACTGCTATAGGTGGCGACAGAGACGAATGGAGACGTTACTTGCACCCGTTTGAGGAAGTTGACGATCAAAGGGAATGCTGATTGGCAGGACGGGTGATACCTCACCCACGATTGTGTTATCATAATCATTTTCAAGTAAGGTGCTGAGCACCACAGAGTTCTCAAGTTACATTGAACTGCTTTGATTCAAACGTCGCACGTTATTTATGGTTTGAGCGGTCAATCTAGAACTTAGCCCGTCAGGCACGGAGAAGGGGATTGCCCCCTGCACTCGTGAAGTTAGTGTGAGCTGCCTCGCAGAGAATGATCGCTTGAAGATATTTCAGAAGACCTTCTGACAAATGCTGAAATGATCTTCGTAATGCCATTTTTCCTAATTATTGTGTGCATATTGTGTGCTGTCGGCTTTTTCAATATCTGTCGAGACGATCTTGTCGACGAACTTCATGCAAACGGTGTTGACGTTATTCGTTCCGAGGTAATGATCTTTGTTTCTATATGAGACATTCGTGCTGATTTACAAACTGAAGGGATCATTCGAGGATACCCTCCCAGGTCTAAGAAGTGTAGAGAAAAATGCCAAGCTATCACGCTTATTTGGTTACCCCTTCCCACTACTTTACCCATACCCCGTGGTCCCACACGCAGTGGCTTTCAAAAAAGCTCAATTCAAAAGAGAGGTTGTTGATGCTTTTATAGGCCCCTCCCTTGGAGTGTTTAAATGCAATCTCTTGAGTTCTCAGTTTGCGCAGCAGCTGGATACCTCAAATTTCCAATAGTATGATAGACGTCGTGGTTTAGTTTTCATCATAAAACGAAACGGGTCACCTCAATAGGGTAGGCTATGTATTTACAGAGAGGTGCGAATGCTGGGAACAAAACTTTAAACTCATGAGTGGAACAGTCTGTGTCTGTGAACGTGATAGTTCAAATGTATGAGTGAATATATCAAAAGGCCGTGTTCATTTAGTTTCTGAGCACTCGTCAACAAATCGGCATTGAAATAAACTAGCTAACATGGACATTCTCTGTGTAATTGTGACATTCTATTCCAGGATGGAGGTATCAGGACAATGCCGCGGGAGTATGAATACTGATACAAGTATTCTTATGTCGCTATTAAGTGAATAAAAAAGTTTTTTTTTGTTATAGGCCCTCTGTTCTGAGACATTCGAAGATACAATCAAGGGTGATAGTGTTCCGCAAATGATTTATCAGGACGGGACTATGGCTTTGAGGGAGGCCACGTGTGGCCTTAAGTGAAAAAACGTTTTGACAAGTCGGGTGAACAGGCTGCTGAAAATTTGCTTGCCTACGCCCTCTTGGGGACAATCTCTGATGTATGTGATTAAAATTGATCTTTTTTGTAGAAAACTCATCTATATCAAAATTCAAAAAAAGCTCCACTCAATTTCAACGAGGTAGCGCAGAAAATGTATGGTGAGTGAATAATAAGTGACTTTGAGGCACAAATTAGAAGTAGAGTAGATTTATAGGATCAGGTGATCATACTAATCTACTTTGCTTCGAATTTGTGTCCCAATGATAGGCACCAGAGTTGTTCAAACCGCCGCGAATTTCGCCGTGCAATCCGCAGCGTGCGCCTCCAAACGGGCGAATGTACCCATACACGGACGGGCACTGACCATTTGTGCTCAGGGAAAGTAGTTTTTCAACTGAGCCTTGGGAGTGTGGGTGCACCAGAAAGGGTGGGATGATTGGTTCGTGCAACGACTTGCAAGTCGTCCCTCCCCCGCTCCTTTGGGGAGTCACTGTCACACGTTCACGAGATTTTAGATTCGTCTCGATGGAATAGCAAGTGAGACCATGTTGATCCCTTGTTGTACGAACACTGCTATGTGTGCTCTACACTTAACTACTTTATCGCTGAAATATATAGCAAAGATCTGTGTATACTTCAGTGACTTGTCATTTGTTTTCTTGCTTACAGTAAGAGCGAAGCTTATAGCTCTCTGGATGTTTAACCCTTTCCATGCTTTCCTCAAGACCTGAGACCTGTGTACAAGTTGCAACTAAGCGGTTGTGATGATGTGTTAGGTGTTGCTTTCTGAGGTAGAACGAGAGGTGTGGGAGAGAGCATCACGTCGTAGTTGACTCCAGCGTCGCATAATTTTACACNTTGAAAATGTGTAAAATTATGCGACGCTGGAGTCAACTACGACGTGATGCTCTCTCCCACACCTCTCGTTCTACCTCAGAAAGTGGTACAAAACAATAATAAATGCTTCCTTTGAAAATGGTGCCCGAGACATCCCAATTTTCAGCTTCTATTCCCCCTCCAGGTAATACATACTCGCTCAAATCAGTACTAATTTGTACAGTATTTAAGTACTGGATTCTGAAATTACTGCGATGCTATTTTCATAGAAAGCATTTATTATTGTTCTGTCAAGAATGCTTTACAATGCTAACTTATGTTTGCATTTTTGCCATTACCAATTTACCACGGCTCTCCCACCGTAATTGGAGTGTTTTTACACATCACCCTATGCCTGAACTTTGTTGTCAGCTACTAAAATGATCATAAGTTTAGTTTTTCATGAGTGCGTTACTTACCTGTGTGCCACGCAGGGGAATGGTGTAATGGTGGCAGGTCTAGCACTAGTGGCGCACTCACACATACTTGGGACAGGGGTTCAATACTCGCCCAGCGCAACCAAACCTTCTATCTCTTCGGGGTGGATTCACTGATATCAGATTTAGGAGGCTAAAAAGACAGACTTGTACATTGGCTGGCCACCGCAAGTCACTGTACGGGTCTTACACCATTGGGACCGCGACTAGGGTTTAGAATTGAAGTCGGATGCAGGGGCGCATCATGTTGATGGGATTGATTAATTTCGACAGTTTTATCCCTCTTCTTTACTACTTAGACTCTGCTTGGTACGGTGTAGGATTACGGGCGTGACATCACTTCTTATGAATAATTTCAACGATAGCTTTCATTCCCCTAATCAATATAAAAAAGGATATCTTAATTAGGTACTTTGGAACAAATTAGCCCCGGAACAAGTTTAGGTTTCGGTAGCCCAAAATTGCAGGCTACTGGCAACGTCGCGCAAACACAAATGCACAAAAACAGTTGAAAGAATAAGTAGACGAAATCTGAGTGAAGACTAGCATATGAAGCTATTCTATCTAAATGGGACAGTGAGTTAGTACGCATTGGAATCGCTCTGCGAGCTTTCTTCTAAAGAAACATAACCTTAAATGGAATGTTCGAGAAAGAGTTTCAGAAATGTGGAACTGTAAGAGCTAGGACGCCAAAATATCATTCAGGAATATTACTATACATATATATGTAACGTGCCAAATGTGTCGGTGTGAGCGTGTCTGTGTGTGTATGTGTGTGTGTGCTTCTGTAGGTGTGTTGGGTGTGTCGGTGTGTATGTGACGTTGTGTGTGTTTGACCGGAAATAATGACTCATTCATAACTCCTGTCCTCGTGAACCAAGAGTGTTCAAAAACTATAGGAGTACAAGCGTCAGGACGGGAACATTAATGGACACTAATGCGGCAGGAGCACACTGCGCCCGCAGGGGAGGTAGGTGCGCGGAATAAATGCTGGCTGCAAATTCATAAGTCCTGTTTACTTGGACCTAGGTAGTTCAAATTCGGTTGGAGTACAGGTAGGAGGATGGGAACACTAAAGGTATGTGGCTGACCTAGCCACAGTGGGCGGTGTGCGAGCGAGGCGTGAGCGAAATTCGGACCTATGACACTTGAATGCGGTAGTGTGAGAACACTGATGGTAGGTGCCAGGATCAGAACACGCCCACAGTGGGCGGGATTCGTGCGAAAATTTTGGACCTAGAGAGTTAAAACTAAGCAGGGACACTAATGATAGGTGGCGAAGCTAGACGCAGCCCACACTGGGCGGGACGTGCGGAAATTGTAAATTTAGGCTTCAAGAACACGGACACGGACATACAATAAACATGTCAGATATGTCAAGCATTCTACTACGCGCTAAATGTATATGTGCGTTTGTGTGTATGTTTGCGTGCTTGTATTATTGGGAATCAAAAACCTTTGTTCTGCCTCACCAGGGCGTCTGAAAAGAAAGAAGCCAGATGGCCAACTTCACCCGAAAAGGAGGAGAGCCTAGCGTCAGGCAGGCGATCCGACTGATCCTTCTCAATAAAACGCGCTAAGTCGTCCGTTGGTTTGTCTGTGTCTGTCTATGTTTTTGTTTGAACAACTCATAACTCCTGCTCCATCGAACCTGAAGGGTTAAAACTTCGTAAGAGTTACGGCGACGAACGTGACGGCACTCTAAAAGTATGAAGCAGGCTGGATTCTGCACACAGGGGTGGGGGCGTGCGCGAAATAAATGCTTAAACTCATAAGCGTGCTCGAGCAGAATTCGAGTAACAATAAGAATTTGGGATGAGTGGGGAACAAAGAAGCTACCTGAATACCCAGGACCTGAGCAGGGCTTAGAATTACCTACTGTTGCGTCATAGCGTTCGCGCTGGAGCACGTTACTCCAAGAGGATTTCAGAGAAGTTACTCCATACGAATACGCATCTTAGTAATAAGGCGGACGAGGTGGCGGGAATGATTCCCGAGTGACGGCAGTCCTTCCATTCTCGCTCGGATGGATCCCCTCTTTCTTCTGTTGTACCCAAGATGGGGCACATTTTCTAATCTGGCTACGTCGAAAACGCTACGCGTCCCGTACCGCTTACGGACGGACAACATGTAAGCTTTTTGATTTGCGCATCGGTGGTGGCGCATTTGCGCACCTTCTTTGAAAACCCGTCGCAACGATAGGTAGCTCGCAAGGAATTGTCGGAGGGGTAGTTTACTTATCTTGGAACTTTGAATGGAGACCCAGATGAATCGATAGAGCTTTGAATGCTGTTTACGAAAATACGAAAATACGAAAATGGAAATCGAAACTGCAGAATGGTTCTCCTTAAAAAGTTGTGGGGGTCCGAAATTTGCTCGACAGTAGTATCAATTGGATATGCGAACTCGTCGCTTCGATATCAAGTGCCCACGTGGCCTCGTGGTAGTGATCTCACTTCATGGGCGCAAGATGAGAGTTTGCTCTTCGCCAGTGTTCGCACTTTTAAAATTGTTTTTTCATTCCATCAAGGGTTCCCTAAAGGTTTTCTGACATTTTTTCTGTGAATACCTCATCTCTGTTTTCACTTTCTCTCGTCGCCCCTATTCACGGAAAGTGGTTCTGCACGCTGATTGTATGGCTCTTTTTTATTTTAAAATCCAAGGAAAATTCAGCAGAAAGTTACCAGAGATTTGTAAGATGCCTGCAAGAAACTCAACATTGATGGGAAAACTTTAGAAAATGCGTGGAGCACACATGTTCTCCGCAAACTGCGCACCTTATGCATGCTGATTCTCTACATCCGGTGACAAAACAGTCATTCGTCTCAAGACTGAACGGGATGCAACAGGATTGATCAGAAGTTCGAATTTCTCGAATTTTATAATAAAAACGAGTCATACTAGTATCCTGCAGAGCTACATTCCTAGAATAGGGCGACGAGAGAAAATGAAAGCAGGAATGAGGTGTTTACTGGAAAGATGTCAGAAAACGTTCAGGGAGCCCTTGATGGAATGAAAAAACACTTTGCAAAAATGCGAACAATGGTGGAGAGCAAGCTCTAACCTTCCTCCCCCCCCCNCCCCCCCCCTCCCCGAACTCTATTCGGCGCCCATAACTTTTTGAGAAGAACCACTTCGCAGTTTTAATTTCCATTTTCGTAAACAGCATTCAAAACTCTGTCGATTCATCTGGGTCTCCATTCAAAGTTCCATGACAAGTAGACTACCCCTCCTCGGTAAGTGTCGGAAAAAATCTAGAGAATCCTGCACGACATTAGCCAACCGAGGTCAGGATGTGGGCACACAAAAAGAACGCACTCTTGAAGACTTTGTGGCCTGCTCGCGAGGCGATATACTATACTTCGTCAAACTCGAGAATGCCTCTGTGTTCGAGCAGGCGCGGTTACTTAAGCACGAACGGTCGGACAATTACTGAATGAGGCCAACTTCGTCGGCTTTCGTCAGCTTTTTCGTTTCCTTCTGAAGCTTAGACACCGACTCC